ATATATACAATGTCCCATTTTAAATTACGCACCTGAATATCTCGTCAGGGAAGCCACCAATCCGAAAATAACCCTTACAAAAGTTGTTGGGTTTGGAGGAGGACATTAGATGGTAACTTTCAATTTTACCTTGACCTTGACCTTCAAGGTCATTTAAAGGTCTAATCAAATGTTTTAATTGAAAATCCCTATTTTTGTCCCCGGATTCGGAAAGAGCGCAAAATTTTACGTTCAGACGGATACTTAAGGCACTTCTTTGGAATAACCTTCAAAGGTTATTTCAAGGAAAAAGTATTTGAAATTACGCACCTGAATACATATCTTGTCGGGGAGTCACCAATATAACCTTTCCAAAAGTTATTGGGTTCGGAGAGAGACATCGGATAGTTACCTTTAATTTCACCTTGACTTTGACCTTCAAATTTTTCACGTTTTATTCAACAAGAAAAAAAGCGTAGCCCGTATTAGTAACACTTGAAGTTTTACAATTTGAGATATGTATCCCATTACAACAATTTATCATGAAATACACGCTGATAGTACTAAACATCGACAAAGAAAACAATTTTAACACAACTGCACAGCACTAAGAACCACAGGTTTGTAATGAGAACAGGCTCCGGCACGTTTTTTACAATTACATTAATTTTTCTGTGCTAATAACGTTTAGGAAAAATTGTCTTCAAAATTGCACGGTAATAAGATTTGAACAACTGTAACTAATTCTCTAATTCCTTGCTACTAAAAAAACAAATGTGAAACTTTAGTTTTGTTCAAAGGTGTGTTAATTTATTATTTTCTAAAATTTTATTTTCATTTTTTTGATGATTTTTTAAGGATAGTAACTTAAATTTGTTTATTGAAGTTTGTCAAATGACTATGAAGGTCAAGGTCAAGGTGAAATTGAAGGTCACAATCCGATGACCCCCTCCAAACTCAACAACTTTTGTAAGGGTTATTTGAATTGGTGACTTTCCGACAAGATATTCAAATGCGTAAATTCAAATATGTTGTCCTTGAAATAACCTTTGAAGATCATTCCAAAGAAGAGCCTCAAGTACCTATCTTATCTGAACGTAAAATTTTGCGCTCTTTCCGAATCCGGGGTGAAAAATAGGAGTTTCTATTTAAAAAATTTGATTTGACTTTCAAATGACCTTGAAGGTCAAGATCAAGGTGAAATTGAAAATCACCATCCGATGTCCCCCTCCGAACCCAACAACTTTTGTAAAGGTTATTTTTGGATTGGTGGCTCCTCTAATGAGATATTCAGGTGCGTAATTTAAAATGGGACATCCTGTATATACAGGGTGATTTAGAACACTCTTTTATTTTTGAAAATACATATTTTTGACTAAATTCTAAGACACCTTTTTATGTAGCAACATTTTGTTTAAAGCTTACTTTTTGAGTTATTGATAGAAATAGGTGACTTACTACGAGTTGGATACAAGAGGTAGGCAGAAGCGGTGCAATCTACCGCGGGCGATTACGTGTGGTGCCTGACGCGATCAGCTGATGTTTCATTTACACTGTATGTTTCTGTAACTTTCTTTGTTTTTCTTTTTTTCTTGCACTTATTTATTTAGTCAATCGTTTTTATAAATCCGTGCATCTCACAAAAATCACTATCACTGTCACATATATAAATCACTATTACTCACTATTGATCACTTAACCTTTTGATGACCAACACTTCTTGAAAAAAGGATGTAATGAAACATGTTTCTTCTAAGGATTATCAGTCGTAATTATTTTATGATAGATCACTTAGTTCGCTGATTGTACTTGCACACACACACACACACCCACACACACACACACACACCCACACTTTCTTCCGGCCTCGCACCGGCAGCCAACGAATTGCTTTCGCTGTGTGTGTACAGCAACATGCATGTGGTAGTATTCTTTTTGAGTGTGGAAAAGCATTGAGTTCGCCTCGTCTTTGCTTGTATTACGTTGAACATTCATATCTAAGTTTTGCAATAATATTGTTCTGGAAAAACAATAAAAAGCGTTAAGTGTGCGTTCAGAATACGAAGATATTTTACATTCAATTAATCGCATTAGTCAAATCAGCCATTGACTTACATGATTGGTCAAGTTCACGAGACCTGCAACTTTAGTTACGTCTTAAGCTTAATGTAAAACGGGTTTAAAGATGACGCGAACTTCAATGCTTCTCCACACTCAGAAAGAATACTACCACATGCATGTTGCTGTACACAGCGAAAGCGATTCGTCGGCTGCCGATGCGAGGCCGGAAGAATGTGTGTGTGTGTGTGTGTGTGTGTGTGTGTACAAGTACAATCAGTGAACTAAGTGATCTATCATAAAATAATTACGTATTGACGACTGATAATCCTTGGAAGAAACATGTTTCATTACATGATGTTTTCAAGAAGTGTCGGTCATTGAAAGGTTAAGTAAGTAATAGTGAGTAATAGTGATTTATGTGACAGTGACAGTGATTTTTGTGAGATGCACGGATTTATAAAAACGATTGAATAAATAAAGAAGTGCAAAAAAAATAGAAAAACAGAGAAAGTTACAAAAACATACAGTGTGAGTGAAACATCAGCTGATCGCGTCAGGTACCACACGTAATCGTCCGCGGTGAGTTGCACCGCCTCTGCCTACCTCTTGTATCCGACTCGTGATAAGTCAACTATTTTTATCAATAACTCAAAAAATAAGCTGTAAAAAAAATTTTGCTACATAAAAAGTTTTCGTAGAATTTAGTCAAAAATATGTATTTTCAAGGATAAAGGATTGTTCTGAATCACCCTGTATATACAGGGTGTCTCAGAATTGCCGTACAATCTCTCGTAGGCAGGGAGAAAAAGTAAAACTGAATCAAAAAGTCCTGAATCATTTTTTTCTATTCTTTAAAATAAAGGAGTAATTATTGAGTAAATCAGCGCCGACCTTTAGCCAGGCGCGCACGTTAGTGAGCCGCGCGCCTGGTGTGTGTAAGCGCTCCGCGCGGCTCATCGTATATATATATATATATATATATATATATATATACCCTGTATATATATGTACAGAGTCCTAGAATTGGTGTGACATCTCTCTCTCTCGTAGACAGATAGAAAGAGTACAACTAAGTCAATAAGGCCTATAATTATACCATTTTGCTAGATTCGCAGTTACCAATCTTAATTAACAAAGATCCGCGAATAAGCGTGCATTGGCCTGTCTTACGCGCGTAGGACAATCTGGCGCGTTTTGCACGATTACATTTTAATATGTATATGTTATTATATTAGCTCCTCCCATATGTTGCTACGGGTAACACCGTTAGCACGCGAAACGCATTGGGCTGTCTTATGCGCGTAAGATAGCCCGATGCATGCTTATTCGCTGATCTTTGTTAATTGAGATCTCGGTAACTATGCGAATCTAGCAAAATGGTATAGGACATTTTGACTCAGTTTTACTCCTCCTATTTGTTCACGAGACATATTATACCAATTCTGAGACGCCCTGTATACATATGTATGTATGTATTCTCTATTGCATTTATTCTCTATTATATTCATGTGTAAATTTTACACGTGAGTTTTGAATTAAAATTTAAATTTGTAAATTTATATATGATGCTATATTTATGTATGATGCTACATTTGCATCATGTTTATGAGAAGTCTCCGTATACTTCCCTAATCTAACCTAACTAATTTTAAAATATTGCAAAAATAGTGCAAAAAAAGTCTCGACCAGGAGTTGAACGTGGAATCTCCGGCTTTCCGTGCCGTCGGCTTCCTTATTCGGCCACCGAGGCACTTAACCGTTTATATATTTCGCGTTTGAAACTTCAGAGCCTAAGACTCTTTATTAACAATAAAAATATAATATAGACAATAATATTACAATATTATATTTGATAATTATATTAGAATATATTGGATAAGTATATTAAATACCAATATTAAAATAATTTTTTTTAAATTGTTTTTAAGAAGTTATATTTTTAATTAAATTTTGACACAATATTAAACATATTTTTGAAAACGCTGTATGTTATTATGTTTTATGATTTTAATAGATCTGCTCAGTGTCTATCACAATCTACATTGATGCCAAATCTGCAGGATTCGATAGGATCTATTGCAGTTTTAGTATCACTTTATTGAGAATGACAATATGTAGCACATCTTTTTACACGTCATGCCTGCCTCTAATGTAAGCCTCTTATTTTGCTAGAATTTACTAATCTATCCACACTTTTGGTAATTTGCTTACTGGGATTACTGGAAAATTATATATACATACATATATATATATATATATATATATATATATATATACTTATGTGTATACACAGGGTGTCCCAGAATTGGTGTAACATCTCTCATAGACAGATAGAAGGAGTAAAACTGAGTCGATAACTCTTATACCATTTTGCTAGAATTGCAATAGTTACCGAGATCTTAATTAATAAAGATCCGCAAATAAGCGTGCATCGGGCTGTCTTACGCGCGTAGGACGATTACATTTTAATATGTATATGTTATAGAGTATATGCTGTTATATCAGCTCCTCCTATATGTTGCTGCGGGTAACACCGTAAGCGCGCGAAGCGCACTGGGCTGTCTTACGCGCGTAAAACAGCCCGATGCAAGCTTATTCGCTGATCTTTGTTAATTAAGATCTCGGTAATTATTGCAATTCTAGCAAAATGGTATAGGACTTTTTGACTCAATTTTACTCCTTCTATTTGTTCACGAGAGATGTTACACCAATTCTGGGACACCCTGTATATATATATACATAGTATAAAATTATATGACAATATATTATTTTTGTAAATAAGTAATAAATAGACAAAAAATATGTAAAAATACGTAAAATTATTAAGTTTGTTATATTTAACTAAATAATTTTATATTATTTTCAGAAACAGATGTATATTAAACAGATCTGAATGAAAATAATAGATGAATAAACATTCGATGATCTTTTTTTAATCTTACCGATTGTTTATTTTGTACCTGTAGACAAAGGTTTCGGCAGTCCGTTGTCCATATCTTCGGCAAAATTTCTGTCAAGTTTCTCGACATGTTCATCGAAGGAACGCTCGTAGTGCAACATCCGCTTATTCTTTTCGTCGTCCTCGACACCTCCTTCTAATCCGCCTTTCTCATCTGACTGTTCGGATGAGTTATCTGGTAGTTTATAGTTGACGAGTATTTGCGTACAATAATACAGCTCTCTAGTGCAACCTTCTCTACAGGATGTCCATGAGCAATTGCTCACACCTAACAATTGTTTATAAGCAACTTTAGTTGCAAAATAGTATCACATAAATATACTAAAAACATATATAACAAATAAAATGTAAGAAATGACATTACACACACGCACACTCTTTCTTTTTCTCTTTCTCCTTCTCTCTCGCTTTTTCTCTCAAAAATGAATAAAATAATGAGAAACAGTAAAATCAGGGACGCACAAAAAAACTTAAGCAGTAGATTTAAATAGTAAGATAAAGCGGAACTAGTTAAGCTGAGGAGCAAGTTAGGACTTGCAAGTATTTCAAAAACTGAAATATGTGTGGATATGTTGATGCTTGCGTAAGAAAACACGAAGACAGAGACTACTGTGCTGCATACACTGTGCTATGTCTGGCCATCAACGGCCAAACACAAATGTTTTTGTTTTCTGTATCACAAACATGAAATAATTAATTAATAAGTAATTATTGATGGTTGTTCTTTTTAACAAACAAGATAGATAAATAAACGGTCAAATCGAGCAAACTTCAGGATGAAAAGTATATATTAAGAATAACTCATTTACATATAAAAGCACGAAACGTTTCGTCTTTAACTTGAGATTTCTTCAGTCGTAATATAATTTTAAAACGCAAATTACAATAAAAAATAATACAAATTATAAATAATAAATAATGTAGAATAAAAAAAATAAAGATTATGTCGCAAAACAAATGTTGAAAATGTTGACAATCATATTAATGGTGATAAGTTCTTTTGTACATATGTCCTCTCTTTATAACAATTGTGTGTGATGTAGTAAAAAATAAATAAATAAAAGATGTTATACATTGCCGTGTAGTTATCCAAAGGTAAAAAGATGTTATGAGTTCTGGAACGGCACAGATCAATTAGAGAGAGCGCAGACAATAAAAAGTCAAAAAACAAAAACAAAACGACTTACAAATTATTGATGTTATGAGTCAACTGATGTGAGAAGACAAGAGGCAGGAGTATATAAACGTTATCCCTACCAAGGAAAATTTTAGAAAGGCAAAAACGTTGTCAATTTAAAGTTTTAATTTACTCAATAATTCGAAATAAGAACCATCGAGCATGTCAAGATCATTGATCAAATTAAGACCGTGGGGTTGCGTTTTTATATAACTCATTTCTGAAGTCAATCTTTTGTAAACATTCGGTTCACGGTCTAGTATTAGGACATTATTCCAGTCAAAAGTATGATCATGATCCAAACTATGTTTTGAGACAACCGATAACTGAGTAGAATGAATGTTATTTTTACGTTCTTTTATTCTAGTTTTCAGCTGCCTTTCAGTCTGTCTCACATATGATGCTCCGCAATCATTACAATTCAATTTATAAATTACATTCATAATAGATTCACGAGGGGTGCTATCCTTAAGAACTCTGATTAAACCATTAAGTCTGTCTTGTTCTTTTTAATTTATGTGACAATTATAATAAAACCTAATAAATTTTTTAATATGGGTCATTACTAAATCATAAATAATACGTAAATCATTATATAAACAGACAATAATTAATAATAACATTAGACCGGCCCAGTGGTCTCACAGCCTGAGTGCAGGGGTTGCGAACTCGGAGGTCCCGAGTTCGAATCTGCTTACCACCTAAGGATTTTTTTCCGGGCCAGTCCTCTTTAACCAATTTATCGGTTGATTGGCGAACTAAATTTACGCTGGTGGAAGATGGCGTTATTATCAGATTAATATTCGATAGATGTGCTAAGTATTGCGAAACAAACTCCAAGTGCCTCGGTGGCCTAACAGGGAAGGCGACGGCCCGGAAAGCCGGAGATTCCAGGTTCGACTCCTAGCTGAGGAGTTTTTTTCGCAATATTTTAAAATTATTAAGGGGGGTATTCGGGGTCCTTCATATATACGTGATGCAAATCCAGCATCCTATATGGAGGAAAAAAATTATTTTGACGTATATATGTGTATACATATACAGGGTGCGTCGCCAAAATCCGGACAAATTTCAATTTGATA